TATATATATATATATATATATATATATATATATATATATATATATATATATATATATATATGTATGTATGTATGTATGTATGTATGTATATTTCTTAGTGTTTCAAGAACAAGCAAATGATTAATACAGGATAACATTTGTTCTTTGGTTATAAAGAGATTTGAATCGTGTCTAAGTTGTTCATACTTCGCAAATCAAAAAGGGATGCTTGATAAAGTTTGCAAAATTTGGAGGTCGAAAACAAAAGTGCAATACACGTTGAATGAACACGAAGTTCTTCACAACGGGATATCATTATATACTTAGTTGTGTTTAGTTTCTTGTATTGAATTGTTGTGTTTAAATTTTAGACGGGATGTCTGTTGATATACCAACATTATGCTTTATATGAGTATTGATATACTGAGGTGTTATCTCGATAGTTTCAGTTAAGGAAATATATTTTATTTTATTGATAACAATCTTAAAGTCACTAATTTTTGACGTTTCAAAGTGTCTATAACGTATGGCTCAAAAGGATAGCTTCCAACATTTGTTCGATCATTCGAATCCGAGGTCAAATAAAAAAGTCAGTTGGAGTTGACATCGTTAACTCAAAAATATAAATGATTGATACAGGGGTGAACGAACAAGTGTTTTTTAAATTTTAGAAGGTAAAATTAGAAAATTAAGATCCCGTTTCATTTTTAAAAAATTAAAGTTATAAATATTTCTTTATTTTCAAAATGAATAAAACAAAAACAAAAAAAATCAAATAGTTATTAAATAACTCAATTATTTTAAAAGCTAAAATAAACATATTTACATTTTCATTAATATTTTTATAAATTTTTTACGGCAACAGTTCTGCAGACTAATTTCTAATCTTGGATACCATCGTGATATTAATATTTTATCAATATGTCGATATTTTTAATATAAGAAGTGAATCGACATTTTCTTTATATTATACAAATTATTGGAACATAAAGAAAAAAAATAATAAAGTGTCGTGATTATTTTAAATTATATTAATATAGTGAAATATATATATATATATATATTTATTTATTTATTTTGTGGGGGAGGTTTTCCTATTTTAAAAATGTTTCATTTCAATCTCTGAAATCTCACCGTCTACCTCAATTAGAGGTAATACAGATAAAAATGAGAAATAAAATTGGAATTCACACTATTTAGGATACAAGTTATCGACTAATATCTACGAAAATATAAACTAACTAAATCTTGAAAATAAAATAAAATATACTACTAATCAAATCGAAAAATATTAAGATTACTAATATATAAGATATATTCCATAACTAAATATTCTCGTACGAATATCTGCACTAATTCAAACTAGCAATAAGTTGAACTAAATCTAGACACGACAGTGTTTGACAATAATACCCAACTTCACGATTTTAAGACGAGATTTTTATGCCATATAATAGATGTTTTGTTCCTCCCTCTCACATCGATATAATATCACAAAATAAAATATTTGTCTTAATAATTCTATAAATCCAACTCAATCTAATCTAATATGAATTTGAAAATGGGTAATCTTATTTTTAATTTATTTTTATAATTATTATTATTATTTTTTATTTATAAGGGTAGAAAACTACGAATCATAGTATCATTCCCGTTTTCGCCTGCAATTTTCTCAAAATTCTAATCGCTCTCTTCATCTTCTTTCTGTTCTTCGGTTCCTCTCTTAAATTTCTCTCTGCTACTGCTATTAGCTTCCTCTCTCTCTGTTATATCGTCTAATTTCTGTGGATTGAGGAGGATTTTGCACGAATTTGCCCTGCTCCTGCAATTTTACGGTAAGAAATCTTTTCATCCTCTTGTTTCTTCCTAATTTGGGTGGGTTTTGGCTGTTATTTGCAGAAAAAAAGAACTCCTAGGTTTCTAATAGGAATTCTTTTTGACTACCTTGGCCTAGTGGTGAGGGGAATGCAAATAATATAGGGTTTTGAGCTAATGGATTGATTGTGATCACCAACCTAAGATTTAAGCTGTGATATAATATCTTACTGATTATCTTAGCAACCAAACGTAGAAGGCGCAGTTGTTGGGTGAGAATATCAAGCTAAGCTGCCCAAACATTCACAGATATATATATATATATATATACAAAGGGATTCTTTGGTGATTCGTGATTTTTCTTGGGTGTTGTAGATTTTTGTGGCTGAATTAGGGGGTCGCGATGTCTTTGGATTTGATGCTGAAGCCATCGTGCAGTGGATGCGGATCCACGACGGAGCTGTATGGGAGCAATTGTAAGCACATGACATTGTGCTTGTCCTGTGGCAAAACTATGGCTGAGAACAAGGGAAAATGTTATGACTGTGGCGCTACCCTAACTCGCTTAATAAGAGTTCGTTCTCTACCTTGTCTTTCTTAAGTAGCGTGATGATTCGAATGTGTTAAATTTGTACTCATGTGATTAGGACTTTTCATTTATGGCAAATTTAATAATTTTCATACTAGCGTGGATTGAGTATTGTCTACATGATGAACTATATTTTAGGAATACAATGTTCGATCAAGTGCAAGTAGCGACAAGAACTACTGCATTGGTAGGTTCATGAGTGGGCTGCCGAACTTTTCGAAGAAGAAAAATGCTGAGAATAAATGGTCTCTTTACAAGGAAGGTCTACAAGGACGCCACCTTACGGATGCCCTTCGGGTACTTTGTTGACTTTTATTTTGCTTCCTTTCTTAAGTTTGTCTTTGGATAGTTTATTGTTTTGGAAGCCTGGATACTGTTGACATGATATTTATTTTTCTTTTAGAAGTTATTAACTGTTGAGATAAAATAGGGCGAAAGTAATTGATGCTATACTTCATCAAAGATGAAAAGGGATACACATTCTTTACACAGATAAATGTTCCCTTATGGACTTGGAGTCTCGTGCATTTTTTTTGCCACTTCTTGGGCCTTCTGCCACAGTAGAGTACAGAAACGTATCTTCATTGTATTAATTGGCACTTTTCTATTTTTTTTAATGCGTGCATATATGTTGGACCATGTTATTATATGCTTCGTATTCAATACTTAAATACTATCTTGTGTTAACCATAATTCAGCTTTGACCTTGGCGATGCATTTGATTAATATCTTGTTGCATTTTTTTTTTTCTTTTTTCTCCCTTGAAGTTAGTTGTTTTGTTGTTTTTTCTCATCTTTTTTTCTTTTTTCTTTTTTTTTTTTTTTTGAAGTTTTTTGCAATCTTGTCCTGCCTGACCCTTATTAATTATGATTCTGTTAATGTAGGAAAAGTACAAGAATAGACCCTGGGTCTTGGAAGATGAAACGGGTCAATTTCAATTCCAAGGTCATCTTGAGGGCTCACAATCAGCAACATATTACTTGCTTGTATTGCAAGGAAAGGAATTTACTGCCATTCCTGCTGGTTCTTGGTATGGTTTATCTTTGATTTAGTTTGCTATGAATCAAGTTATAGACCTTTATTTGTTTGGCATAATCTTCTTCATACTTGGTTATTACATTATCCTATTCTTGAAGGCTTTTATATTGAGGGTGAAAATTTTCAAGTCATCCATGGTGGTATTGGCATGACTGACCTGAATTTTCAGGTACAACTTCAACAAAGTGGCACAGTATAAGCAACTTACTTTGGAGGAGGCAGAAGAAAAAATGAAGAATCGAAAGAAGACGGCAGATGGATATGAAAGGTGGATGATGAAAGCTGCAAATAATGGTGCTGCTGCATTTGGTGAAGTTGAGAAGTTTGATGACAAAGAAGGTGTTCGCACTGGTGGTAGGGGACGGAGAAAAGCTACTGGTGATGAGAATGAAGGTAATGCCTCAGATAGGGGAGAGGAAGATGAAGAAGAAGAGGCAACAAGGAAGAACAGATTGGGACTCAATAAAAAGGGTGGCGGTGATGATGATGATGATGAAGGTCCTAGGGGAGGTGACCATGACATGGATGATGATGATATTGAGAAAGGTAATCTTTCCTATTTATAGAAAAACAAAGAAATTCGAGCTGTACCATGTCGTTGTCATCTCTAAAGAACGTCACTTGCCATCTGTTAGATTGTTTGCTTGATTGAGCCATCACCATCATGTGGGAATAAAATGCATCAAATGAGTGGTTTAAAGTTTTGGATGGCATTATGTTAGCAAATTCTTTTGTTCTTATCCAGGAAGATCAAATTTTCACCATGTTTTTTTTTAATAATTTGTTTTTGGAAGGAAACACTTGTCTGTCTCCATGCATGTGAAATTCAGAAATTAATTCACATGATGAGCATTGAGGCCAATGTCATTGTTCCTCTTTGTTAACGTGCCTGTTGAACTTTGTAGGAGATGATTGGGAGCATGAAGAGATTTTTACTGATGACGATGAAACTACTGCTCCGGATCGTGAAGAAAGGGAGGATTTAGCCCCTGAAGTTCCTGCACCTCCAGAAATCAAGCAGGTTGTCTAGCACTTGAAAAAAAAAATTCACTGATACATATCGTTTCTTTGATTTAATAGAAACAATTCTATATTGTTAAATTTAACAGTTGAAGTAACCGTATATGTTTTTCTCCCAAGTTGCTGAAAAGGTCGTAAGAAACGTTTCTAAAAAATGAAAAGGAAAGAAAAGAAAAGAAATGAAAAAAGCTAATGCAGGATGGGTGATGAAAAGTAGGGAAGGCAGAGAGGAGATTTTGTATGACTATAATTCTTTTTTCCTGAAAGTGGCCCCTATGTGTCTACGACCACCATTCACATGCAAATATGCATGGGGCGTGGTAAATGAAAGCGGTATAGTGGAGCATTTTGCATTGGGCTCTATTTATTTATCTGCTGATGTAATTCCATATATAATTATGAAATCTTTGTCAAGTGTTTGCAATGAAGACAAAAGTCAGGATGATAGAATGCTTACAGGATTTACAACTTGAGCTTAGGATATGGAGTACTATTTAAGAAGGAATAGGAAAAAGGCAAGGTGTCAAGGACAGTAGAAATTATTTTATGAAATAGTAGTCGTGGATGTCGTGTTATTATGTAATTCTTAGTTTTTCCTAGAATCTGTTGCTGCTAGTGTCTTCATTGTTACTATTATTTTTGTAATGTTCACTAGAACGCTTCTGGAGTCTAATGGGGTATGTATTTTCTTCGATGGCCTAGGCTGGCCGATTTTTGCGATTTTGTTTAGACGTAGTAACCTGAAGCCCTTAACATAACTAACAACTTAATGTTTGATGTCCATTGACCTTCAAAATCATCTGGAGTTCTGGTTTACATTTTGGATTTGTTGTCCATTTTCCTGAATATATAGTGTAATCTTTCAAGTCAAAGATATCACATATCAAATACAGATGGCTTGTTTGTATGCTTAAGCTTTCTAGTTCAGCAAATTATTTTCTCACTATGCAGGATGACGAAGACGAGGAGGATGAAGAAAATGAAGGGGAGGGGGGGCTGAGCAAATCTGGGAAAGAGTTGAAGAAATTGCTTAGGCGCACTGGAGGGCTTAATGATTCAGATGGAGAGGAGGACGACGACGACGACGATGTAAGAATCTCTTTTGATTTCTGTGAACACAATTTAACAGCATCCAAAACTTTAAATTATAATGACCCTTCGAGCAGTTTTTCGAATAGAATCTGTATGAATTGCACTTGATCATTAGTCATGGTACTTTTTAGCAGTTTGAAGCAGCATTGTTTTGATCATTTATTTTGCTCTCTGCAATGCCTTTTTTTTTTTTTTTCTTTTTTCTTTTTTCTATATTCTAAATGATAGGAACCACCCTGATTTGGCTTAGCAAGGACCTGTAATTTAGAGAGAACGGATTAACACATATATAAAGTTTAATATCTTACGAGTTACTCTGACAATTAAACGTAGTAAGGGCAAACAGTTGTATTGGGAATAATCAAGGTGCGCCCAAAAAACAAAGAAGAAAATAGTTTCTATTAGCAGCAACAAGAATTTGTTAGCAGTGTCCACGATGCCTCGATATTTTTGGAATCATACCGAGTTGACCCGATCGAATCAGCCTTTATACATAGCCCTCTACTTATTGTGATACTGCCTGCATTTTATACTGTTAAGTCGCCTTGTATCTTTTATGTATTCAGGAGGAGGATACTGGTGACACTCCAGTTTTGCCTTCGAAGCAGAAGGATACAGTTAAGGAAGAAGCTGCGTCCAGCAGTCCCTCAAAACCAACACCTTCTGGATCTGCTAAGGGAACCCCCTCCACTGCAAAGACAGCAAAAGGAAAAAGAAAAAACGGCGAGGATGTGAAACCATCCAGTGCACCTCTGAAGAAAATGAAAACAGAGACGGTATGTCGTGCTGTCTCATGGTTTAGTCTTACGGATTAAGCTTCGAGAACGAGAGTACTTTTATTTATATTAGAAGGATAAACAACTTTTTTTTGGGATATTCAGGAATCAAAGCCTACAGATGAAGCCTTGACTACTTCTAGAAGTACAGCCTCAAAAGGTGCACCAGTATCCGTCAAAACTGAATCAGCATCGAATTCTGGACCCGTTACTGAGGAAGAAATTAGAGTTGTCTTGCGCCAAAGGACACCCGTAACGACGCAGGATCTTGTTGCGAAATTCAAGGCAAGACTGCGATGTAAAGAGGTATAATGTTGCTATGGTTTCATGGCATGTTTTACATAAACTGTTCTTTCACTATGTTATGGTTGAGAAGCGGGCAGTTTAGTGAAATATGGACAGCTGAAAACAAGAAATGCAAACATTCGAAAACTCGATCGATGTACCACGACTATTCTCTGATATCTTATATTATATCCCATTATGCAGGACAAGAATGCTTTTGCAGAGATTCTTAGGAGAATCTCAAGGATTCAAAAGACGAACGGAGGACCAAGTTACGTCGTGTTGAGAAAACCCGAAGACTAGAAGAATTAAGTGTATGTTTCATCTTTATGATGTTACTGGTTTTCATCGAGTACAATGTTTATGTGGTGAAACTGTGTGCTGCAAAAGCTCGAGGAGCCTCCTCTTCTTTCACTCACATGGTGTGGTGCTTTTATCTAGGCAAAGGGCAAAGGGCAAAGGGCAAAGGGCAAAGGCAAAGGATAAATTTGTGAGTTTGAAAGAGAGGTTGGAATACGCTGAGAAAGAAACGAAAAGAAATGTTGAGACCCTTTGTCATATTGGTTGTCATATTGATTTTGGCGTTTTTGTTTGAAGACGTTTCTAAAATAATGGAATGAGTAAACTAAGTATTTAAGATTTGATCCTTATCTTCTTCACGTGCTTTGATTAAAGTTTATTATCTTGCTCACTTGTGAGGATTAACTCACCGGGATCGGGATGTCTTTTCTGTCTTCGTCTTGTCTTCTATGGGATTTGATGTTGTCTGCTTTGTTCTGTTATGTATTGTCATTAGTCTCGTGGGTTTTAAAATGTGTCTATTAGGGAGAAGTTTCTACCAACGAAGTTTAGAGAAACGAAGCATAAGTGAGGATAAAGTAAATAAATATGTTTGTGTACTTGTGAGGATTAACTGATCGGGATCGGGATGTCTTCTCTATCTTCGTCTTGTCTCCTATTTTATTCTTATCCGTTCAGAACTTTTGTATTTGCTTTGTATGGAATGTATTCAATTTTTAACTATTGGATAGGTATATATGAATTTGGTTGGAATGTATTCAATTTTTGAGGAAAACCAACCAACCAAAGTATAGAAAATGTTGTAGGTCGGGAAACTTCTCTCTAACAAACGCCTTTTAAAACTTTGAGTCTAAAGACGATAATATCTGTTGACAATAGACTTCGATTCTTTATAAGGCTGTGGAAACCTCTCTCTCGTTTTAAAACTTCGAGAGAAAACTTAATAGAGAATTTGTTCAAAACTAAATTTATAACTGTACAAAACTAAATTTATAACGAAAGTTGATTGGGATCCTCACGAACAGAAAAAGATAGCAGTCGATTTGACAATGATCGAGTGACCTTACTTCTTCGACTCGAACCCAGGAATCCCTTAGATATGATACAAAATGGATCTTGTTCTATCGTTGATAAGAGATTTCTGTATGAACGATACGAATCGGAGTTTGAAAAAGGGGAAGGAGAAGTAGTCCTCGACGCGCAAGAGATTAAATTTATAATTTATTTGTCATATCAACAAATAACTTATCAACACGACCCATTTCAATTATGTCTTGAAAAAAACGACTTCAAAGTAGGATCTATAATATTGAAGTGACACGTGTGAGAATATGATAGGGGAAAGAGGGAAAGAAAAGTGATGCCCTATTGGAGGGATGATATGGGAGGTTGATATCTGCAATATGAGCATGCAAGGAATGGGAGAAAAGTGACAAATTTTACTTACTCTCCCACCGCCCCTTCCCTTTTTTACCCCATAACCATTTATAGAAAATTTAAAAAAATAACTCGGGTCCGAGCTTTTTTCCTCTATACTCGGTGCACCTACGTCCGCTCGGTTCGAGAGACATCATGAATTTTTTATATTATATCATTGAATTTAGAATCTCTAAGTTTGTACGACTTAGATTCCCCAAGTACTTACTAAAAAAGCCACCTTTGGAGCTTGCATGTTCAGAGTCAGAGCTTTGCTCCTCTATACTTGGGACACCTGCATCCCGTTGGTATGAGTGACATCATGAGTTTTTGGTATTAAATCTCGTTTGAAACTTGGAAGGATCTAGAATCTCTAAGTTTGTAGGACTGAGATAACCGAGGGAGGGAGGGTGGTTGGAAGGTGTAAGGTGGGTTGAGGTAGAGGGCGTAAGTGGTTAGATGGTGGGGGAAGAAGAGTGAGTGTATGGAGGGAGGGAGTGAGTGAGTAAAAAGAAAGAGATGTGAGTTGTTTATTATGGGTTTTTTCAAATCTAAACTCATTTAACTTCCATCGCCAAAATCCCATCTTTTTTTCTTCCTTTAATGATACCCCAATTTTGGAATCAAAATAGGGACACTCACGCCCATCGAGGGATTGGGAAATGGAATCTCTCTCTCTCTCTCTCTCTCCCTTATTCTCTCTCTTACTCTCTCTCCTCCTTATTCTCTCTCCTCCTTATTCTCTCTCTCTCATTCTCTCTCTCCTCCTCTCTCTCTATTATTCTCTCTCTTGTTCTCTCTCCTCCTCTCTCTCTTATTCTCTCTCCTACTCTCTCTCTCATCCTCTCTCTTACTCTCTCTCTCTCATTCTCTCTCTTATTCTCTCTCCTACTCTCTCTCTCTTATTCTCTCTCCTACTCTCTCTCTCTTATTCTCTCTCCTTCTCTCTCTCCTACTCTCTCTCCTTCTCTCTCTTATTCTCTCTCTCTCTCTTATTCTCTCTCCTACTCTCTCTCATTCTCTCTCCTATTCTCTCTCTCTCTCATTCTCTCTCCTACTCTCTCTCTCTCATTCTCTCTCCTTCTCTCTCTCTTATTCTCTCTCTCTCTCTTATTCTCTCTCCTACTCTCTCTCTCTTATTCTCTCTCTTACTCTCTCTCTCTCTTATTCTCTCTCCTACTCTCCCTCTCTTATTCTCTCTCTTATTCTCTCTCTCTCTCTTATTCTCTCTCCTTCTCTCTCTCCTACTCTCTCTCATTCTCTCTCTTATTCTCTCTCTCTCTCTCTTATTCTCTCTCTTATTCTCTCTCTCTCTTATTCTCTCTCCTTCTCTCTCTCCTACTCTCTCTCATTCTCTCTCTTATTCTCTCTCTCTCTCTCTTATTCTCTCTCTTATTCTCTCTCTCTCTTATTCTCTCTCCTTCTCTCTCTCCTACTCTCTCTCATTCTCTCTCTTATTCTCTCTCTCTCTCTCTTATTCTCTCTCTTATTCTCTCTCTCTCTTATTCTCTCTCCTTCTCTCTCTCCTACTCTCTCTCATTCTCTCTCTTATTCTCTCTCTCTCTCTCTTATTCTCTCTCTTATTCTCTCTCTCTCTTATTCTCTCTCCTTCTCTCTCTCCTACTCTCTCTCATTCTCTCTCTTATTCTCTCTCTCTCTCTCTTATTCTCTCTCTTATTCTCTCTCTCTCTTATTCTCTCTCCTTCTCTCTCTCCTACTCTCTCTCATTCTCTCTCTTATTCTCTCTCTCTCTCTCTTATTCTCTCTCTTATTCTCTCTCTCTCTTATTCTCTCTCCTTCTCTCTCTCCTACTCTCTCTCATTCTCTCTCTTATTCTCTCTCTCTCTCTCTTATTCTCTCTCTTATTCTCTCTCTCTCTTATTCTCTCTCCTTCTCTCTCTCCTACTCTCTCTCATTCTCTCTCTTATTCTCTCTCTCTCTCTCTTATTCTCTCTCTTATTCTCTCTCTCTCTTATTCTCTCTCCTTCTCTCTCTCCTACTCTCTCTCATTCTCTCTCTTATTCTCTCTCTCTCTCTCTTATTCTCTCTCCTTCTCTCTCTCCTACTCTCTCTCATTCTCTCTCTTATTCTCTCTCTCTCTCTCTTATTCTCTCTCCTACTCTCTCTCATTCTCTCTCCTACTCTCTCTCTCTCATTCTCTCTCCTACTCTCTCTCTCTCATTCTCTCTCCTTCTCTCTCTCTTATTCTCTCTCTCTCTCTCTTATTCTCTCTCCTACTCTCTCTCTCTCTTATTCTCTCTCTTACTCTCTCTCTCTTATTCTCTCTCCTACTCTCCCTCTCTTATTCTCTCTCCTCCTCTCTCTCTCTCATTCTCTCTCCTACTCTCCCTCTCTTATTCTCTCTCTTATTCTCTCTCTCTCTTATTCTCTCTCCTTCTCTCTCTCCTTCTCTCTCTCTCTCTTATTCTCTCTCCTACTCTCTCTCATTCTCTCTCCTACTCTCTCTCTCTCATTCTCTCTCCTACTCTCTCTCTCTCATTCTCTCTCCTTCTCTCTCTCTTATTCTCTCTCTCTCTCTCTCTTATTCTCTCTCCTACTCTCTCTCTCTCTTATTCTCTCTCTCTCTCTTATTCTCTCTCCTACTCTCTCTCTCTCTTATTCTCTCTCTCTCTCTTATTCTCTCTCCTACTCTCTCTCTCTCTTATTCTCTCTCTCTCTCTTATTCTCTCTCCTACTCTCTCTCTCTCTTATTCTCTCTCTCTCTCTTATTCTCTCTCCTACTCTCTCTCTCTCTTATTCTCTCTCTTACTCTCTCTCTCTTATTCTCTCTCCTACTCTCCCTCTCTTGTTCTCTCTCCTCCTCTCTCTCTCTCATTCTCTCTCCTACTCTCCCTCTCTTATTCTCTCTCTTATTCTCTCTCTCTCTCTCTTATTCTCTCTCCTTCTCTCTCTCCTACTCTCTCTCCTTCTCTCTCTTATTCTCTCTCCTACTCTCTCCTATTCTCTCTCTCTCTCTCATTCTCTCTCCTACTCTCTCTCTCTCATTCTCTCTCCTTCTCTCTCTCTTATTCTCTCTCTCTCTCTCTTATTCTCTCTCCTACTCTCTCTCTCTCTTATTCTCTCTCTTACTCTCTCTCTCTTATTCTCTCTCCTACTCTCCCTCTCTTGTTCTCTCTCCTCCTCTCTCTCTCTCATTCTCTCTCCTACTCTCCCTCTCTTATTCTCTCTCTTATTCTCTCTCTCTCTCTCTTATTCTCTCTCCTTCTCTCTCTCCTACTCTCTCTCCTTCTCTCTCTTATTCTCTCTCCTACTCTCTCCTATTCTCTCTCTCTCTCTCATTCTCTCTCCTACTCTCTCTCTCTCATTCTCTCTCCTTCTCTCTCTCTTATTCTCTCTCCTTCTCTCTCTCTTATTCTCTCTCCTTCTCTCTCTCTCTCTCTTATTCTCTCTCCTACTCTCTCTCTCTTATTCTCTCTCCTACTCTCTCTCTCTCTTATTCTCTCTCCTACTCTCTCTCCTTCTCTCTCTTATTCTCTCTCCTACTCTCTCTCCTTCTCTCTCTTATTCTCTCTCCTACTCTCTCTCCTTCTCTCTCTTATTCTCTCTCCTACTCTCTCTCCTTCTCTCTCTTATTCTCTCTCCTACTCTCTCTCCTTCTCTCTCTCTCCTTCTCTCTCCTACTCTCTCTCCTCTCCTACTCTCTCTCTCTCATTCTCTCTCCTATTCTCTCTATCTCATTCTCTCTCCTACTCTCTCTCTCTCTCATTCTCTCTCCTATTCTCTCTATCTCATTCTCTCTCCTACTCTCTCTCTCTCATTCTCTCTCCTTCTCTCTCTCTTATTCTCTCTCCTACTCTCTCTCTCTCTTATTCTCTCTCCTACTCTCTCTCTCTCTTATTCTCTCTCCTCCTCTCTCTCTCATTCTCTCTCTCTCTCTCTCTTATTCTCTCTCCTATTCTCTCTCTCTCTCTTA